GTATACCAGGTGCGTCTCAAAAATGGCTTACCCCTATAACTTTTTTTTCAGATAAAAAAAAACGAGATTTGGTATGTTAGTATATGACATAAATTAGGATTGATTGACGTATTCAATTGTTTTTGGTTACTTCCTGTTTCGCCGCAAATGACTACAACTTTTGATTTTCAAATGGCACTCTCGGTATATTTTTAGTTTATTCGATACAAAATGACACTCTGAATGGAATGACATATCATATGTCAACTTTTGACACTTTCGCTTAAAAACAAATCATATTTTAAATCTCAATCTAGAGTGCCATGACTGCGTTAAAAACATTACTTTTTAATTAAGGAGCCTTGAAAAAATAGATTTGATCATCTAATGTTTTTCGTGTCTTGTCCTGGCCGGTTAAAAGATAAACAAATCGAATTTTTAATTATATCTCAATTTTTTCAAACGAAACAAGGGTAACTCATTAGCATATTTGGAAAAAGCATTTTTTTACGAATAATTTAGTACCACACACTTGGTAGTTCGAGTTAAATTGTGGTTATGAACCACATTTTATAACTATATACGAAAATGTCAAAAGTTGACATATGATATGTCATTCTATTCAAAGTGTCATTTTCTATCGAATAAAGTAAAATATACCGAGGGTGTCATTTAACAATCAAAAGTTATAGTAATTTTCCGTGAAACAGGAAGTGACTAAAAACAACTGAATACGTCAATCAATCCTAATTTATGTCATATACTAAAATACCAAATCTCATTTTGTTATCTAAAAAAATAAAAAAGTTATAGGGGTGAGCCACTTTTTTGTTTTATTTCCATCATACTGTAGGTTACATGTACCGGTATTTTCGGGAGCCGCTTTTTTTTGGTCATATAAAAAGGGTGTCATACGGTATTTATTTGACATTCGAAAGGACTCATAATCTCATAATATAATCTACTTTTATCACGATATTATAATTGCAATATTTACTAATTTAATTGAACCACTTACAAAATATTTGAAGCATCCTCGTCTCGTTTGATAACCCTTTTCATTAACACGGCCCTATTTTTCTTATCGCAAAAACTCGTTCAATTTTTCCTGACCTCACTCTCAATTATTGTTATTTTTAAATAAACGCAAAAAAAGACACAAATCGTGTGCAAAAAATGATTCCCTATCACACTCCACCACTGGAATAAAAATATCAAGAAAATATCGTCCTCGAGTTCGACGTTGCCAGATTTCAAATGTTAATTTCAGAGAAAATTTTCAATGAAACTATTTTTATTTTTTTCTCCGCGAATTAGCTAGAATTTTTTAAGCGCGGGTACAAAATATCACAAACCTTGTCGTACACAATTTTATAAGTGATGTTCCACAACCCCTAGACCATCATTTCAGACTAAATGGTGAAGGTAATCCATTATATTCGAGAAAATGGACAAGAACAATATACTCTGAAAGAATTGCAAGATATAAAAGATATTGAATTTAATTTTGAACTTTTATCATTGACCCCTCTTTGATGTTTGTTACTTATAAAGTTATTAGCAATTTTCTTTTGTTTACGATACTTCCGGAAATTCCAAAAATTACAAAAAAGCGGGAAAAGCTGTTTTTATTTTATTCAAATGTGTTTAAACAAATACATCAAACTTTCTGTGTTGCTTAAAGAGACTCTAAGAACAATTGTTAAAAAAAGCTTGACAAAAGTGAAAATATGGGTAAGTTTGTAAACATTTTTGGATCAAGGAATGTTTGTCCGGTCTTTTTATTATCATAAAATATGACAAACTTCAAACACATTCCAAAATGTGATAGCTGTTGATTCTGCCTTTTAAATGAACTTTGAATCATCAAAAAATATTAAATTTTAGCCGAGTTATTAAATTTGTCCTATCAATCAATAATACGCTTATGAATCTCCGGAGCCGTTAAGACTTGGAGAGAAAATTCAGGGATTTTCGAGGTGGAATATCTCGAAAACTACTAATTTTACGTAAAAACCTACCTAAGCTTCATTTTTTATTCCAAGAAAAATTTTGTAAATTGTATATTATGGCAGATATTTGCGAAAATCTGATTTTTCAGCCATTTGGAGCAATTTTTTGTAGTGTAACAACCCAGGGAACTGTATACAGTACGTCTGTCCGTTCTGTAGCTACGGGGTAACAGTGAGAGGGGAAACGATATATTCTCTCGATGTTTTTCGTAAAAAATTAGACGACGCGTCCCATCAATAAAAATTCGACAAATTTGCAAGTAGCCAATAAAATGAGTGGACGGAGCGATTTGCGGTGACGTCAAGTCGACGTATATAATATATTGCTGTTTATTTAAATGTTTTTTGTCCGCATTCCTTTCATAGACACAGATCCAGCAGATGTACTGTACCTACCAAACGATTTAAATGAAATAAAGAAACCTACGTTGTGTTGAAAACATTTTTTTTATTGTGATTACATTGGATGCGCCCGACAGAAGCAATATTTTTGGAAATTTGAAGGGAATAGGTTATATAAATGAAACGCTAAATTTGTAACTAGCCCTACTTATTTTGTTAAATGAAATAAAAGGAGTGCCGTACTCTGCCTGGAATTCATAAGTAAAAGAGCACGACAGAGAAAACCCTGATCACTATTCCAAAGAATCTAACTATGCTGTCCTGAACTTTAATAAAATAGAAATAATAATAATATTGAAACTGTCTTCATATCAAGGTTTGTAGTTTAATACATTCAAAACATGCCACATTTGTTATATTCAAAACGGAAGAGGTTTTTGTCAGTTTAGAGGTCCCTACCCGTAGGTCCTAAAGTCTCTTGTTGCGAGTCTCGAAGCTAAAGTTGAAGATTTGGTGCCACTGTCTTTTGATTATAAGTTATACTATGAGTTATTCTATTTATTGTTTTTGTTTGCCCTTTTGCGAGCTAAGATATTCGCACAAGCACGGTCGAAAAATGTTAGTACACTCAACAAGGCCCTTACTCTCACACTGAACCACAAACATCGGCACGAATGGACAGTAAATGATTGTATTTAGATTACTTTTAAACTGAAATTATTCACAGCATAATCCATCCCATATAACACAACACAATCCTATAGATATCTTGAGGATATCCACCAAGGATATAGTAAATATCTTAGGGATATCCAAAAAGTAGAGGAGGATATTTATGGGATATACAGATGGGACAAAAAAAGTCATCTTCAAGACATCCCTAAGCAAGCCTTTTACGATTATTTGGGATATTTATAGGATAATACAAGGATGATGTTGGGAGCATTATAGAATATTTTTAGGACATTATATGAGGACTGTTTTTTGACAATACTTACTTCATCCTTAGTTTATAGTAAAAACGTTCGCGATTTAGTTTTATTTAGCCACATTTTGACGTTATTCATTGGATATTTTTATTAACAGCTTAACAGCTCTAAAATATACCTACATATTATGTCAATGAATTTTGCGTCAAAATTTAGAAGTTTATTTGTATGAGTTAAGAGCTTTCAATTTATACTGTACCATCGAAAAAAAAAACGGCGGTCAATTGGCTTGAAAATTACGATCGATGACATAACCCATATAATTTTACATACAAAATAACAGCAATCTTCATTTCCAAGCCACCTCTGACGCCGTTTTTATCGATCGTATGGTATTATATTAGATTATACTACCCTTTATGGAGTCTAGCAGTTTATGTCTAGCAGCAACAGTTTACATCAAAGTTAGCACACAGGATACAGGTATAATTTCTAACACCACACATTCCAGAAACTCAAAATTTAAACACATAAATAGGATTTCTGTTTGAATAGATCAAACACGAAAATGGGTTTAGGGATAAGGAACAAGCGCTTTTCAACAAATTTTCACCTATAATTTTGTCACAAATTTTTCATTGTAAGACCCTGAGTCGTTCGTCGTTTTTCGACATTAGTTGAGGTTAGGATAGAATTTCTGCTAGAACAAGGCTAGAACTATGAGTATAAGAAAAAACTAAGTCAAACTCAACCAGTTTTGTTAGTTTCAGTCATTTTAAGTCCATTCAATATCGACAAACGACCTAATTCGCCTCGAATTTCACTAAATCAAAGAACTGAATAATACACGATGCAAAAACAAACAACTGTCGAGATGGATTGTGGGAAATTTTTTGCGCGGGCGTTTTAAATTCTCTGTATTGGCCAAGCTCATAAATATCCAGATTATCCAGAAGATACCAACAGAATATTTTGTTGCCTTGACGTAATATATATCTATCTGTACGGTTTATTGCATTTTATGTTATATAAAAAGTAGTACATTATTTATTTTTCCTAAATATCTAGACGATATCGTTAGGATATTTTATTATCATGAGCATGTTTGGATATCTCAGCTGGATGTACATTAGATATACGACAGAGATATCCATAGGATATTCTATTCTGAGACATCTACAGGATTTCAGGATGTCTGGAGGATATCCTGTCTTTATAAGATGATCTTATAATGGGACATTCGGACATTCTATGAATATCCTGCGGATATTGTGTGTTATATGGGATCTCTGGTCGTCGCCTGATTTCCCTCTTCTTAGTTTGTGAATAATATTGTAAAAATTTTTAAAATAATTTTTATTATGTATACAGAGTGTCTTAAAACTGAATGTTTTGAATTTAAAGAAATATGTCTATTTTCAACTCATTAGGGAAATTTTGTTAGGAGAAAAATAGTTGGTATCTTATCTAATATTAATAAGGCGTTGGTAATTAGGATAACTTTCAATGTCTTGTAAGTCGAAAAACTTGCTTTAATCAATTAAAAAAGGCTTTGACTTGATAGATATTCCATAATTAAGATTATGGATAATTCTCCTATGATGCAAAAGGAAGATGATTAAACATCCCTAGATCTACCTAAGTAAATATAAATCTGGCAGCGCGGCGTAACGAAGATAACGAGACGCCGCACCACGTGCTAAAAAGACGCAGAGCTACGACCTACCTACTCTACACGCGAAGTTATAAAACGCGTAGCGTAGCGCGCCCGAAACGTCAGCCTGCGTCAGCTCGCGGTGTGCCGTGCCGCTGCATGTGCCTTTCTATTTTATAATCGTCCCGATTTTTTCATTTAGTTTTTCCATCCGAAACAAACGTCGCACAGTGAAAATGTTACTGAAACTGGTGTCGATTTTCCTCTGGACGATGGCCGCCAGCGCCATCAAAGGACATCAAGACTGGGGTAAGTGAAAAAAGTGCGATTTTTTTTGAATCGGAACGGATTTACCGCCGCCGCGCCATGCGGCTGGGATTGTCCGTCACGTAGGCCCTGCTCGCGCTCGATACTCGCTTATTTTTCGTATAATTTCAATTAAAACCGTCTTTGATCTGAATAATATCATTATAATTTATAACATTCATATTTTCATATTTTTTACGGTACGTTATATAACAAAACATTTTTTTTTTATTAATAGATATCTTTTTTTATTTATACCGATCAAATTACAATGCATTCGAAGTTCATATGTTTTAAATTATTTAAGTTATTATAGATAAAATATTATAGAGATTAATTACTATTTCAAAGTTCATAGAAAGTTTTTGGCAATGAATCATGTTAAGTTCATTCCCACATTTCGTAACTTTTACATTTTGCTCACGTGCATATAGACCTTAATTAGTAAAACTGTTATGTAAATCCGATATATTATTTTATTTAATTAGATTAATAATTATAAATAACAACTATACCATACAAGTATTAAGTGCTGTTGTATTATATCATGGATAAATTAATATGATTTGAATTAGGTATAAAAATATGGAATTTTTTCTTACCACTTCTCGTATACATCCACTTAAACAGTTATTGATTACTTATTCATTCAATTTGATTTATTTTAATTATTTATTAAGTTATATTGGGAGTTTTTGTTTAATATTGATTATAAAGATATACAAAATAATCAATAATTTCTAAAAAATAAAATGATTTTCTTTTAAAATGCCTATATGAAGTACCTAGGTGTGCGACTTTTTCACGAGACGACAACAAAAATATTTAAATCTTTATTTTCTTGAAATGATAAAAAATAAACTTTCTATTTTTTTATGGAAGGATTTACTCCTATAGCTACTAAAATACTGATTACTAAAATTATTTATTTTATTTTATACTTTATCACTATGTACTGATTACCAAATAATGTAACAAATTATTTAATTACTTATTTATATTATAATAATTTTTATCACTGTATATTAATGAAATTGGTAATGTAAATTTTTTAGTCAATGTGAATGAAATATAAAATTATCTGGATATACGGACACATACTTTGTATATTTTATTTATTGTGGTTAAGCAAAAACCGCTCACGTATGTTTGTTTGTTACATGTTGTGTAAATTCCGATTTTATAAAGTAAATTTAACATTATGAATAATATTAATACTTTATCTATCATAGTATACAGTATAATTATTAGCAAAAACCTTTTACTATAAATATTTAACAAATATAAAAAGTATCATTATAACATTACGAAAAAGTATGTTTACACGGTGCCACTACCACCGCCAGTATTGCCGTACCTACCAATGAAACTGGCCCCTGCTACTGGATAGGTGTAAATCAGCCTTTATATCATATAAATCTTAATTAAAATAATTTAAACTATTTAAAATATTATTTATATTATTTCATATTTTGATTATTATTTTTGCGAATTTCTTTCAATTCACAGGATACAAAGGGGCGGATACAAAGTGGCGGATACAGAGGGGGGGTCCATGGGCCCCCCCCCCCTAAAGTCTGTAAATTGAGTTAAATATTAGGCTTTTGGGTTAAAAAAAAGCCCCCCCCCTAAGGCATATTTTGCATTATTTTTTATTTGGGTCCCCCCTAAAATAAATTTCTGTATCCGCCCCTGACTGTACCCCATGATCCATTATACCCTATGATCCACTGTACCTTATGATCCACTGTACAGGGTGGGTCAAATTCGACGCTTTTAAATGGAAACACCCTTTTCTATAGGAGATAGACGAAAACTAATATCGGTGTCTGGACTTAATTTTTATGAAAAACATGATGGTGAAAACCGCACATCAATATGTTACCGTTTCGGAGTTACGGGGTGTTTTTCAAAAATGTGCATTTTTAACAAATCACTGTAACTTTTTTGCTATGGAAAATTTTGTATTTCTATGAAAACATTTCCAAAGCACCTTTTTACGTAGAATATAATGGTTTAAGTATATTTTTTTTAAATTAATAATTTAAGAGTTATCAACAGAAAAAATTATTTTTTATTTGGTACACCCTCTATATTACAACAAAACAACTAGTGGGTAAATGAATTTGTAGATATATTACGACATTTCTTGGAACTTTAGTTTCGGAGATATTAATTTAATCGGACCTTTTTAAAAAAATTAATTTTATTTTTCAGAAACTATTAGAGACAGAGTTTACCAAAAATGCTTTTTATAACTACTAGTGGGTAAATGAATTTCTAGATATATTACGAATTTTTTTGGAACTTTAGTTTCGGAGATATTCATTTAATCGGACATTTTTAAAAAAAATAATTTTATTTTTCAGAAACTATTAGAGACAGAGTTTACCAAAAATGCTTTTTATATCTACTAGTGGGTAAATGAATTTGTAGATATATTACGACTTTTCTTGGAACTTTAGTTTCGGAGATATTAATTTAATCGGACCTTTTTAAAAAAATTAATTTTATTTTTCAGAAACTATTAGAGACAGAGTTTACCAAAAATGCTTTTTATATCTACCTTATGATCGACTGTACATTATGATCCACTGTAATCTATGATCCACTGTACCCTGTGATCTGCTGTATCTTGTCATTCAGTGATCCACTGTGTCTTGTAATTTGTAATCCATTGTATCATGTGACCCGTTTACTCTTCCGTGTGATCCAATGTGTCTTGTAACCAATTGTGTCTTGCGATACGCTGTGGCTTGTGATCTGTATCTTGTGATTAGTCTCAACTTTATGTAGATCATACCAAATAAACTTTTAGTCACGTGATTAAGCTTGACCGGCACAGCGTTGCCCACTTTTACATATTTTCTTTTAATCAAGATAACTTAGGAAACAGAAATAAATTAATTATAATTAGGTATATATAAACAGTTATTATTTACATCAACAAAACTCACCTTCTTAACCGCATTTAAAGGACATATAGGGCCATTACTGCCGCTTTTCCGTTCAAAATATTCTAATAAAGTTGCGATGAGTTTTTTGAAACGGCTATTAAGCTATCTTGTACACTTTACACTAAAAGAGGTTCTAAAAAGAACAATGTTCGACCGCAAGATCTGGTAGTAAAAAATTTTAAGCTTAAAGTATCACAACACAATACATTTAACCAAAAACTCGAAATACGTAACTAAAGGGTCTAAACGAATGACAATGTCAGGAAATAAATAAATAAATGTGGCAACTTGACATTTTTTACAGCAGAGCTACCACTTGAATGTTCAACGGGAAATTTTAATACCCGTTAGTCAGCCTGACGCCAATTACGTCCATGGTTGGCAACAATGAATTTAAAAATCGCGCCCTCGATTACGTAACTAAAAGTTTAATTGGCATCGCTTATATTTTCGCTTCGTAGTGTCTAGTGTAATCTGTAAGCTATTTATTTCATTTCTATTAAACACATTTTTTTATTGCAGTATGGATATGTTAGTTATATAAACTCGAGAACATAAAACCAGGGATTAATAATTATAATAATATATGTAATACCACAAGTAATACGTTTATTAACTTAATTTATATTAGAGAACAACGGCATACGGTCGAGTCGGCCGCTGCTGGCACGTATACGTAGACGTAAAGAATCTTTTACGTGTATAAAAAATAAAAAAATATAAGAAATGCGCATGCGTACGCAAACGTTTACGTGTTTGTAGGCCGACTCGACCGTATGCCGTTGTTCTCTATTGTTACGGATTCCGTGGGTCCACTAATTCAAACTCACGATAAAATACTTAACGAATTTATTTTTCTCACTCTGTACACCCAACTTATACTATTTACAACACAATTTATGCAACTACTATTACTCTAATGGTTCTGGCACCTTCGCCAATGAATTCACAATTTAAAAGCGGTATTATCAAACTTCAAACTGCCCAACCGCCAAGCAGGGTTCGGAAGTAGTTAATTAAGACGTAATTTACCTGATTAACTACGTGTAGTTTTTCTTCAAAAACTACGTCTTTTCCCGTTCATTAACTACATGAAAACTACCTTAATAAACTATGTATTGATATTATGAATAATTTTCATTTGTATGAGGTGTAATAGAGATAACATGACGTAAATATTATATTTAAAGCCATATTTCTTCTGTTTTTTTTAAATATATCATGTGTTTTTAAAGCTTCAACTTATTATAACCTCACCTCAAACGTTTGATATTTGAAAGTTACATACATAGGTTACATAAACTACACCCTCTACATAAACTACTTTAACTACGTGTAATGTAGTTTTTAAAAGTAACATGTAGTTTTCCGAACTCTGCCGCCAAGCGTGGGTCTTTATATACCCCTACTGACGGTTTCTCGAACCTTCTATAGAATTCTGTAATATTCTTTGTTTCGCTTTCTGGTGAATTCGCCATGTTTCTTGACACGTAGGCACGTTGCGACAATGTAGGCAACCAGTAATACAGTTTAGCGCCACATACACCTTGACAATATGTAAAATCACAATCAATATAATATTTAAAATAAATGAAGTACGCTATTATTTTAAGTGGAAGAGTAGGTAATTTATAAATATGTATTTTTGATTTAGTTAGGCAGACAAAAGAATAAGAAAATTAAATAAAAATAATACCTTTATTAATTTTTGAAGATTTGGGACAGAGATTATTTTATTTATATAATTTATAAGTAAATCTTTGTATTACCTATATGTAAACATTATTTATATAAATGTATTATATTTTATTATCAAAATTTGCCCTTACTGTTAAAGTTTAAATATTTTATATGTTAAGTTATTATTTTATTAAATTAAATTTTATCTATACGTAATCTATTTTATTCCATTATGTAATCAACTCCAATAATCAAGTGAATAGTGTGAATCCCTACAGATTAGGTACATTATTTTACAATAAACATTATTAGTCGGGAAGTGCATCTGATGTAATAAAATTCGAACCTTTACACACGTTTATGATA